GGACAGTGTGGAGGGACAGTGTAGAGGGACAGTGTGAGGACAGTGTGGAGGGACAGTGTAGAGGCACAGTGTGGGGACAGTGTGGGGACAGTGTGGGGACAGTGTGGAGGGACAGTGTGGGGATAGTGTAGAGGGACAATGTGGGGACAGTGTGGGGACAGTGTAGAGGGACAGTGTGAGGACAGTGTGGAGGATAGCATGAGGACAGTGTGGGGGACAGTGTGTGGGGACGGCATGGGGACAGTGTGGGGACAGTGTGGGTGGAGAGTATGGGGACAGCATGGGGGCGGTGTGGGGATGTGCACGTGTGCATGTGCATACCTGCATATGTGAGTGTGCACATACGTGTGTACATGCATGTGAGCGTGCACTCGCGTATGTGTGTACACGTAAGTGTGAGTGTGCACATGCACGCTGTACATGTATGTGTGAGCATGCACCCGTATGTGTGCATGGTGTGTGTGTTGGTGTGTGTGGGGTGCATGCTCAGGCAAGGGGCGGGGAGGAGCAGCTGCCCCCTCCCCAGTGCTGACCCTCAGGGGACTGGACTCACACGCCCCTTCGTGGCTGGAGGAGGTGTTGTGGGTGAGAGGTGCAGCAGTCTGGATGGTCCGTCTGTCCTTCTTGTTGTTAGTGCTTCTCCTCTGTGTCTCCCTCGCTGGGGCATCCCAGCTCCCAGAGCCACGTCCTGGATTTCAGCAGACAAGGAAGGTTGTCTTGCCACAGGCAGCCCCCAGAGAGAGGGATGTGCAGGAACTGTTGTGACTGCGCTGGCCCGAGAGGCAGCACAGTACACTCTGAGCCAGCGGACTGGGGTGGGCTCCCTCAGAATTCAGAAACACCCAGTTCCAAGCCCTGCTCTTTTTTAAAGACTGTTTTTTTAGAGCAGTTTTAGGTTCACAGCAAAATTGACAGGAAGGTACAGAGATTTCCCATATACCCTCTGCCCCCACACATGCATAGCCTCCCCCATTACCAATATCCCCCACCAGATGGTGCATTTGTCATAACTGATGAACCTACATTGACACATCTTATCACCCGGAGTCTGTAGTTTACAGTAGGGGTCATTCTTTGTGTTGTACATTGTGTGGGTTTGCACAAACGTATGAGGACATGTGTCCATCACTATAGTATCACACAGAGTAGTTTCACTACCCTAAAAATCCCCTGTGCTCCGCCTATTCATCACTCCCCACCTCTCTACCCCTGGCAACCACTCATCTTTTTACTGTCTCCGTAGTTTTGCCTTTTCCAGAATGTTGTATAGTTAGAATGATGCAGTACATAGCCTTTTCAGACTGGCTTCTTTCACTGAGTGATGTGCGTTTAAGGTTCCTCCATGTCTTTTCATGGCTGGACAGCTCATTCTTTTTAGCGCTGAATAATATTCCATTGTCTGGATGGACCACAGTTTATTTGTCCATCTACCTACTGAAGGACATTTTGGTTGCTTCCAAGTTTTGGCAATTGTGAGTAAAGCTGCTACAAATATCCATGTGCAGGTTTTTGTGTGGACATAAGTTTTCACCTCCTCTGGGTAAATACCAAGGAGTGCAATTGCTGGATTGTATGGTAAGAGTCTGTGTAGATTTGTAAGAAACCACCAAACTGTCTTCCAAAGTGACTGCCTCATTTTGCATTCCCACCAGCAACAAATTAGAGTTCATCTTGCTCCACATCCTCGCCAGCATTTGGTGTCAGTGTTCCAGATTTTGGCCATTCTAATAGATGTGTAGTGGTATCTCGTTGTTTTAATTTGCATTTCCCTGATGACATAGGCTGTTGAGCATCTTTTCGTGTGCTTCTTTGCCATCTGTGTATCTTCTTTGGTGAGGTGTCTGTTCAGGTCTTTGGCCCATTTTTTAGCTGGGTTGTCTCTTTTCTTTTTGTTGAGTATTGAGAGTTCTTGGTGTATTCTGGATAGCAGCCCTGTATCAGATTTGCCTTTAGCAAATCTTTTCTCCCATCTGCTGCTGGTCTTCTTTCTCTCTTGACCCTCTCTGCTTTTTACCAGCTCCATGGCCTGGAGAAGGCCACTCAGATCCTCTGAGCCTGCGTGTCCACCTGCATAGAGTGGGGATCAAAATGGCATTTTTGGAATCTTAAATGAGATAAAATCCATGTGAGGAGCTTGGTACTGGCATCTGCCGTCATCATTGTCATTGTTGTTATTTGGTCATGATTAAGGCTTCTTTATGCTTATTCTTGATCCCTCTCTAAGAGGCAGAACTAAACCCCAGGTTCCTTCATGCGGCTTATTTGACGTGGAATTTTTGTCTCTTGTGCTGCCACTGCCACCACACCACCATCGCCACTGTCACACTGTTAATTCATTAACAAATACTTATGAAGCACCCACAATTTTCAGAGCCCTGTTCCAGGTGCTTGGATACAGTCAGACCCCATTAGCACCCCTCCCATCCCTGTCACCGTTTCCTGTCTTGATCACTAGACCACAGTGTGGACTGAAGGCCTCCGATGTGCTCTGGCAGACTCTGGAGCCCTGGAAACCTCTGGCAGCTGCAGGGCCAGCATTTCTGTCCGTGAAGGGTCTTGGGGGAGAGTTGAAGGGGGGAGGACTGGTTCCTTCTCTATGATTCCTACTCCTTTGCTCCCATGCAGAGTCAGGCATGTGCTCTGCTGCGCCACACCTGACTTTTCCAAAGCAGACCAGTCATTGGGTTCAGAACTCGTGTGTGTGTGCTCAAAGTACTTGAAGAGCTTGTGAAAACGTTTGCCCCCAGGCTCCATGCCCTCAGGCTGAGCCTGGGAGCCTGTGCTTTAGCAAGGGTCTCAGAGTGGGTGCCTCTCATGGTGGCCGACGAGAAGGGCCCCTTGCCCTTTGCTGCCAGGTCCCCCCTGAGTGAAGCCTTCCTTCCCCTGTGCCCACTGCAGACACACCAAGATGAAGACAGCTACCAACACCTACATCTTTAACCTGGCCCTGGCGGACACCCTGGTGCTGCTCACCCTGCCCTTCCAGGGCACGGATGTCCTCCTGGGCTTCTGGCCATTTGGGAACGCCCTGTGCAAGACAGTCATTGCCATCGACTATTACAACATGTTCACTAGCACCTTCACGCTGACTGCCATGAGTGTGGACCGCTACGTGGCCATCTGCCACCCCATCCGTGCCCTCGATGTCCGGACATCCAACAAGGCCCAGGCTGTCAACGTGGCCATCTGGGCCCTGGCCTCCGTTGTCGGCGTTCCTGTTGCCATCATGGGCTCGGCACAGGTGGAGGATGAAGGTCAGTGGGGTGGGTTCTCCTCCCCAGCGCCGTGCTTCTCGCCCACCTGCCCTGACCCCACTTCTCTCCCCACAGAGATTGAGTGTCTGGTGGAGATCCCCACCCCACAGGACTACTGGGGCCCTGTGTTTGCCATCTGCATCTTCCTCTTCTCCTTCATTGTCCCCGTGCTCATCATCTCCATCTGCTATAGCCTCATGATCCGGCGGCTGCGCGGGGTCCGCCTGCTCTCCGGCTCCCGCGAGAAGGACCGGAACCTGCGGCGCATCACGCGGCTGGTGCTGGTGGTGGTGGCTGTGTTTGTGGGCTGCTGGACACCTGTCCAGGTCTTTGTGCTGGTCCAAGGGCTGGGCGTGCAGCCGGGCAGTGAGACCGCGGTGGCTATCCTGCGTTTCTGCACCGCGCTCGGCTATGTCAACAGCTGCCTCAACCCCATCCTCTATGCCTTCCTGGACGAGAACTTCAAGGCCTGCTTCCGCAAGTTCTGCTGCACCTCTGCCCTGCACCGGGAGATGCAGATGTCTGACCGCGTGCGCAGCATTGCCAAGGATGTGGCCCTCGCCTGCAAGACCTCTGAGACAGTGCCGCGGCCTGCATGACTAGGCGTGGACCTGCCCATGGTGCCTGTCAGCCCGCAGAGCCCGTCAACACCCAACACAGAGCTCACCCAGGTCACTGCTCTCTAGGCTGACACACAACCTGAGACCTGAGCATCACCAGCCTCATCGGGCTTCCCTGTGGCCCCAGAGGGTCTGGTGACATTATGGGACAAGTCAGAGCATTATGGCTGCCACCATGGCCCTGGTCATACTAAAGCTGACCTCCTGGTAGGAGGGCAGGGATGCAAGGACTCACCCGGGAGCATGATCAGCCAGAGCCCATGCTGACCCTTCCGTGCTTCATGGGCCTCTCTGGCCTCTCCCCTGCTGCACCCTGCGTGCTCCAGGGGGCACTCACCTGGAGCTGCGACAGCAGCATGTGCAGTCCTATGTGCCCCTTGTGCTGTGTGCTGTCTGCATGGAGCCCTGTAGCATCTTCTCTTGGCAGCTGGAGGAGCTTGATGCTGCCTGGAGAGCACAGTGGGCGTCTCTGGGCAGTGGAACTCGCCCTGAGCATGAAGCTGGTGATATGGGCTTGCTCGTGCCGCATTCTGCTGCCACTTCCTCATCCCCCACTCCCACTTTCATTCAGAGGCTTCTCAGTGAGCCTCTGCCCTCCGGAAGCGCAATGAACTATCGTGCTGCAGACATGGGGTCCAGGTGTGTGGAGGTGGCTCAGGAGGATGGGGGGCTGTGTGACCACTGCAGGCTGCTCAGTCACCCACGAAGTGGCCCCATGTGCCTGGTTTCGGCTGCTTGGTGCTGGGGAGGGCTCTGTCATGCTCTGTCTGGGGGTCCCTGTGCCCTCCTCAAGCTCTTCCTCACAGTCTCTCCTTCCTGGAAACCGGAGGTCAGCAGCTGAGCAGCTGGCAGAACCCTGTGCCCTGTTTTGGTCCTGGTGGCCTTGGAAAAGTGGCCGTTGGAACAGGCTCTTCTCTGTGCCCGCAGTGACTGACCCCCTGCTTCATTTAGAAGCCTCCAGGCGTCCGTGGGGGAGGCCTGAGCTTCCTGCTCCCAGGACTTGTCCTAAACGACACCAAGTCGGAGGCGGGTGTCTTGGGCAGAGCTGGTGTGCACGGTGGGGCTTGGCAGGGCCTGCTTGAGCCAAACTGGAAGGACTGTCTGGGCTGTGGGGACACTGCAGGGGGTCTCCCTGCTGTGATCACCCGGAGAAGCACCATTCCTGGTCTGCTGATGCAAGCTGCAGGCTGGGGACCTGACACACTCTCTTCCTGCAGGTGAACTATTGACCTACCTGCTTTTGCCCCCACCTGTGGGCTGAGCGCAGACCTCGGCCAGGTGACCTGAGGTGCCTGCAGAGAATGGGACGTGCTGACTCTGGGCTGGCTTCTGCTCCGGGAAGCCCTGCCCTGTGGGGTGGTTCCTGGGGAGGACGTGCTGCCTGTGGTGGGAGGCTCTGAGGACTTGGAGGCGTTTCCTTGCCAAGGCCGAAAGATTTATGAATTTGTGCCAGTGTGACATGTATCTTCATGTATTTATGCATGCGACAAGTGTGATTTCCCTGCACGTAACCAACCCTGAGCTTGTCTGCAGGGGTCGTGAAGGAGGGCCGTAATAAACCCCTGCCCACTGACTGGGGCGCTTCTGACTCGGGCTGGGTGGGGTGTCACCACGCTGGGCAGGGTGATGAGTCCTCCCACCTGCTTGTGCTCCTCGCCTGGCCAGGCTCTGTCCTCGGTGGGGTCCCCCTGGGGGCTCCAACTTTGGGGCGGGGTGCACCTAGTTCATGATGTGTTGGGGGCTGTTCCCTTTTCTTCAGCATTAATCATTTCTCCCTAAACAACCGACTCCTGACCTGCAGCACAGCAGTCCCTGTGGATCCGGGGGGGCCCTCCCATGTGGGTCCCAGGTTTTCTTCGCCCAGTAGAGTGTCAGCAGAACCCCTGCCCTTCTCTTCTTCTTTGAGTGGGCCAAGAGGAGGTTTTTATTTTATTTTATTTTATTTTTTTTTATTGATGTTTTAATAGTTTATAACATTGTGAAATTTTTGGTTGTACCAAGAGGAGTTTTGATGAAAGATGAACAGAACGGCCTCCTTGAGGTGCGACACGCCTGCTGGCTCCTGTGTGGGCCCAGTTCTGCCCAGGTTGATTCTCCAGGCGAATGAGCAACCCTGTCAGAGAGAGGGGCTTCAGAGGGGTGGTGAGCGCGAGCTGCTTGGGCACAGGCAGATGGCCAATGCGCAGTTTTATAAGTTTTAACGACGAGCACATTGCTGTTAAAACAAAAATTTAGCATCAAGAGAAAGTTTGGGAGGGGTGGGCCGCAAAGCGGCAGTTGGTGTGAAGGGTGCTCAGGAGATTGGTGGTCCTGGTGGAGGAGGAGGCTCTACGTGGGCTCCTGAAGGCTGCTGACGATTCTGCGCACAGGCTGCACATCCAGGACCTACGCCACAGTGAGCGTCTGTGCGGAGATGGGCTGTGAAGGGCTGTGAGAGGCCGGGCCAGGCAGGGGTGCCTGGGGGATCTTGGAAGCTGGGTCAAGGCTCCCTCCCTGTCCAGGACTGTGCCCCACCTCTGCCCCTGCCCCACCCCCACCTTCGCCCAGGCCTCTGCCCCCATCAGCCACTGGGCTTGGTCAAGTCTCCCAACTTCTCTGAGCCTCAGTTTCCCCACCTGTGCAAAATGGACTGCTGAACCTTCCTTGCAGAGTTTTGGGGGGAAGGCTGAGGCCATGGGGAGGGGTCAGCGGTCCAGGTCCACCTTAGGGAAGCTATGGGCCACCTGCCACTTTGGGTTCTGCCCACCAGGGATGCTGTGGCCCACGGGAGGCCCTGCCGAGGGGCTGGGCTGGGTGGTGCTGGGCCAGGGCCCAGGCAGCAGCAGTGAGATTTGGGGACCGAATGGGAGGGCCAGGAGCCCAGAGCATGGGGACACTCCTCCTCGCACCCCACTCCATCTCAGGAAGTCACGATGGAAGGTGAGGTGACAACCAGAGTCCCTGGAGGGGGGCTGGTGTTTTGCTGGGGGCCCAGGAACTCACTTGGGCAGGATCCTGGTGAGGGTTCACCTCTCTCCTCTGTCTGGGCTGGCCCTTGGCTCCCTGTCCTTGGGGTCTTGTGGGCCCTGCATGAGGAGCCCCCCCCCCCACAGGGTGTGGGGATGGGGCAGGGGCTGCGGGCTGCTTGGCTGCGCTTGGCCTGCTCTGGTCCCCACCACAGAGTTCCCGGTGGGAGGTGTTGCTCTTGTTGCTGGGCTGTGGGGGGGGCGGGACCACCCCAGGGAACAGAGGGTCTGGGGTCTTCTGAGGAGACTTGGTTGGCACCTTCTCTGCTGCGGAGATGTTCTGCTTCGGCGAGAGGGCAAACTGGGGCAGGATCGGGGACTGTGGCCCCAGGAGCCAAAGGGGTCTCTTGCTCTGGTGCAGCTGGAGACTTTTCACTGACGCACCCCTGCCCGCATTGGTTCCGCGCCCTGTTCACTCCCTCGTTTACACCTCACAGCCGCTCTCTTGCCGCCGTGGTCCTCGGTGGGGTGTCGGGAGTCTCAGTCTGCCTCCTCAAGGAGCTCGCAGGGCACAGGCTGTGTGCTGCCCCGTAATCGCGGCTGCTGCTCTGAGAGATGTGACTGCAGCTCAGGGAGGACGCAGGTCCAGGAACCGCTGGTTCCTTCTGGGAGGGGCGCGGGCGTGAGTGAGGTTGAAAAACTGTCCACAGCCCCTGAGTGTGGGCTGGGCTAGTGACTCGATTCTAATGAATAGAATGTGCTAGAAAGGCTTCCGAGCAACGTCTCAGATGGTGTTGAGCCTCTTCCTTCTTCTCTTGGACGGCCGCCCCTGGGGGGCCTGCTGCCATGTTGTGAGGACGCGCAGGCAGCCCTGTGGCGGGTGCTCGTAGCGAGGAGCTGAGTCCTCCTGCCCACAGCCGTTCGAGGAGACTTCTTTGAAGCAGCTCCTCCAGCCCCAGTCTAGCCTTTTTTTTTTGTGAGGAAGATCAGCCCTGAGCTAACATCCAATGCCAATCCTCCTCTTTTTGCTGAGGAAGGTTGGCCCTGGGCTCACATCTGTGCCCATCTTCCTCCACTTTATATGGGACGCCGCCACAGCAGGGCTTGACAAGCGGTGCATCGGTGCGCGCCCGGGATCCGAACCTGCGAACCCTGGGCCGCTGAAGCGGAGCGTGTGCACTTAACCTCTGCGCCACTGGGCCCGCCCCCCTAGTCCAGCCTTCAGATGACTGGAGCCTCGGCCGGCGTCCTAGCTGACATCTCATGACAGACCCCGAGCCAGAACCACCCAAAAGCTGCTCCCAAGTTCCTGACCTGCAGGAGCTGTGAAATAATAACTGTTGTTTTAAGCTGTTGATTTGGGGGAAATTTGTTGTACAGCAATAGATTGCTAATACCATGTTGTCAGGGGAGGTGACCGGGTAGAGGTGGCATCTGAGCTGTTTCTGGCTGAGACAGGAGAATGTGATGTGGGCTGAGCTCTTCCGGGCTGTGTGCCTGGGTAGGTGGGAGTACACGGAGGGTGGGGGAGGTTGCCACGCACCCTGGCCGCCTCCCTGGTTGGTGAATCATGGGTCCCACACGCCAGCTGGGCAGACTGGTCAGAGCCCTGTTGTGAGGACCGAACCCCCAGGCACGGGCGGCTCACAGAACAGCAGGGCTGGAGCGCCAGGGGTGAAACCAGCTGGGAGCCATGAGGCCAAGAGTGGGGAGCCCGGCTGAGGCCCAGCAGGATGGTCTTCAGGGACCCCACCCCTCCCACCTGACAGAAAATGGTTTCTGAGCAGCCAGCACCTCAGTGGCCCCACCTGGCCCCTGGAGGTTCAGCGTGGAACTCCTGCTGGCCCCACACCCCGGGGAAGGAAGGGGTCCAAGTGACAGCTGCTCCCTCTAGACTGTGGGGTCAGAGGTCCTGGCAGAAGGGCCCTGGGTCCTATAGCAGGACATGAGGGGGCCATAGGCTGTGGCATGGAGGGCACAAAGGGGCATGGCCCACAGTACTGGGGGGCTCGAGGGGGCCTGAACCATGGCTTGGGGGGCAAGAGGGGGCACAAGAGGGCATAGGCTTCCAGTGAAATGTCACCCGAGCTTCAGGCCTTGAGAGTGCCCTTTGTGGCCTCGTCTGATGCATGTGTCTTTGGCTTTTGCAGGGACTGGCTTTGCTGCCCCAGGGAAGCCCTGTCTCGATTGTGGAGTGCAGCACTGGCCCAGGATGAGATCACAGTTCAGGGTCCTCTCTCCAGACACAGTCGTCAGGGAGGATGTGGAAGGAAGCCACCAAGGCAGGGTGTCTGTCTGTCCATCTCTCTGCGGGTGAGTAGATTCAGGTGTCTGTTTTGCCGGGACCTTCTGCCTGGTCAGACAGGCAGGGTGGGGCCAGGATCTGCACCCCCGCAGCTGTCCACCCAGGGGCTGTCCAGGAGGCAGAGACGGTGGGAGGGGCAGGCCCATGGCCATCTCTGCAGGTTTGGTGGCCAACCTTTACGGGTCTTTATCTCTTTGCGTAGAGAAAACAGTGATGGGAAGTGAACAAGTGGGATGTTCCTTGAAAGGGACAGCGCTTTTCCTGCAGACGTGCCAGGTCCCTGGGCACCGGAATGTGGTGCGGAAGCTCTGGCGGAAGCCGTCATCCAGGAAGGTGTAGAGGAGAGGTTGAGGCAGGAGCTGGCGTAGCTGAAGCTGGTGATGACGTAGGAGATGCTAATGACCAGCAAGGTCTGGGGCAGGTCTGTGATCAGGGCCACGATGGAGGCCAGGTGGAAGGGCATCCAGCAGAGCAGGCCCACAGCCAGCACAGCCAGGACCAGGACAGTCACCTTCTGCTTGGCCTTGTCCAAAGCCTTGGCTCCGGAGTGGAGCCGCAGGGCCCGCAGCCTACGCAGCAGGTCCACGTAGAGCACGCAGAGGGTGCACTCGGGCACCGTGAAGCCCAGGACCAGCGTGTAGATGTGGCTGGCCCTGAACCAGGCCCACTCAGGCTGAGGGAAGCTCAGCCTGCAGCTGGTGACCTGCAGCTCGTTGCTGTAGACACCGGCGAAGGCGAAGTAGGGCAGCACCATGATAGTGACGCTGAGCCAGATGCACAGGCTGGTGACCTTTGCCCCCCAGAGGGTGTGCTGGGGCACACGGCGGGACCTCGCAGTGGCCAGTACCACCAGGTAACGGTCCACGCTCATGGCCGCCAGGAAGTAGATGCTGGAGAAGATGTTGTGGTGGTTGAGGGCCAGCACCAGCTTGCAGAGCAGATCCCCGAAGGGCCAGCGCTGCAGCAGGTGCTCGGTGACGCTGACGGGTAGCACCAGCGTGAAGAGGTCGTTGGCCACAGCCAGGTTCAGGATGAACACGTTGGTCACCGTCTTCATCTTGGGCACCTTGAGGATCACGTAGATGATGGCCGTGTTCCCCGCCAGCTCCACGGCACAGATCACGGAGTACACCGCCGGCAGGAGCACGTAGAGGACCGGCGGTGGCTCGGGGAAGGTGACGTTGTGCCCAGTGCTGTTGTCCCAAGAGAGGCTGGCGCCCATGGTGACCTGAAAGGGGAGCCCTTGCTGCAGAGGGGCTCCAGCCCAGCGGCCTGCATCATGAGGTGGGCCCGAGAGTGATTCATGCCGGGGCAGTGGGAGGTGCCTGGGAGTTGGGGGTCCAGGCAGGGGCCTCTTTGGGCTGGATTCTGAGAAGGAAACAACCAGAACTCTTGAGATATGGCTGTCAGCTTAGGACAGCAGCTGCCTCAAACTCTCTGGCGGAGGTTATGGCCACTTTGGCAGGATCAGGACACATGGGGTCTCTCTCTATCCACCCCGTCCAGTGGCCAGAAACAGCCTGGTGGGGTACCTAGGGGGCCTCCTCCTGGGCAGCACTTTTGGCTGGTCACTTTCTTTCCCTAAGCTCCCCTCCTCCTGTGGAGAGCAGCTGCCGGCCACCCTTCTGGGAAAAGGGGACATGCATCTGCCCACCACAGCCCTGGTCCCGGCCACCCCCAGGGCACAGTTTCTGTAGAATCAAGGCAGTCCCTTTGAAAACGCACCTCCCAGGCATATCTCTGGCTCCCTTCGTATCCTGGAGTCCTGGAGCCAGTGCCCTCCCAGTCACACTGCGCACCCTCTGTGTGGCCACCTGCTCTGCTCCTCACTGACCTGTCCGATGACACATGGCCAGAAGTTCACACGTGGTGAGCGTGCGGTGGTGGCCAGCCCGGGTGGGGGCAGGGGCAGGGGTAGAGGCAGTGATGCAGCCCCCACCGACAGGCTCCCCACTGGGGACCCAGTCTGCTCTTGACTGCCTGGGGGCTTTTAGGACCTGCCCCGTCAGCAGCCTCAGCCCGAGCTGGCTTCCTGCAAGGTCTCCAGCCTGGTGGCAGCACTAACGCACCGCACCACCATAAGGGCGGGAGGCAGGTCCCACTGGCTGATGCAGAGCCCTGGGGGGAAGGGGGCGGGAGCTGTGGGCGCCTGCTGTCATCCCCAGGTCTCTGAGGTGCTCCCTTCCCTGGTCAGACGCCCTGGTGCATGTGCCTGTCTGTGCACGTGTGTGCCGGTATGTCGGGGGCATATGGTGCAGGGCCTCTGGGTGGGCCGTGTCTGCGGGCTCCACTGAGCATATCTGTGCCTCTGTCTGTGGGTCTCTGTGGACCTGGGCACCCTTATCTGTGTATGTGGGCCTCTTGTGCCTGACCCTGTGCGTGTGCGTGCCTGCGTGTGTGTGAGCCTGCACCTGCGTCTGTGTGCGTGGGGTTTCCGTGGTGAGCTCTGTGCCTGTGTCTGAGGGGATCTGTGTAGGCCCCCAGCTGGGTCTGTATGCCTTTATGTGGAAGTAGAACTTGCTGCCCACAGACAACACAATTTCTTATTTTTTTGTGCTAAAAGAGGAGCACGTACATGTGCAAAAATCAGACAAGCGGTAGGAGGCTGCAGAGGGAAGGCAGTTCGCTCTCGCCCGGCTCCTGGTCCCTTCCTGAGCTGCCCTGTCACCAGCCACCCGCCAAGGCGCCTGCGCCACTCTGTGCGAAGCTTCACCTTCCCGCGGTCTTGCACTTCTGCTCAGTGGGATGCGCCCTGACTTATTTTATCCCAGCTCGTGGACAGCTGGGCTGTTTCTGGGGGTGCTTTTGCAGACAACGCTGCAGCTAATGACGGTGCCTGGCACCATCTCTGGCAGCCCCTCAGCGTGGACTTCTGGGTCCGAGGGTCTGTGTTCCAGTTTGGGGAGACGTGGCTGCTCATGGCCTGCAGGGTTTTGAGTCCGTCACCCCATCACCTGCTTCTTTCACTGGCATTGCAGTCCCTGTGTTCCTGTGTCCCTGGTCAGGACAGGAGCCTGGGCAGTTGCCCGAGCACCCTGATGTCACCAGACCTCAGGCCTCGTCCAGGGGCACCAGCCTCCCCTCCCCTGGGCCTGGAGGTGGGCATGGCCCGGTGGGGCCCTGCTGGCTCTAGGAGGCCCGAGGGTTGCAAGCTTCGGCCAGGGGCTTCAGCTGTCCCGCCAGGGCTGAGCCATCATCCAGCAGGCTACCGCCCAGGTGACCCACCGTGCTCTCCCGGCAGCCCCAAGGACCCAGGCCCTTAACAGCAGGCCCCACCCCAGATGGGGCCCTCCCGCCCCTCCTGCTCTTTGCTCCAGCTGGGCAGGACACCAAATACCGTCTCAGACTTTCTCCGGAGCTGGCTGTTCCAGGCAGGTCTCCCCTCAAGCCCCTGGAAGGGAGCAACCTGGTATCAGAAGTACAGGAACCCTCCTGTGGGGTTTCTCACCATGTCCCTGGCTTCCTCTGAGGCAAACTGTGATTCTGGGGTCCCCCCTTCTCCCCACCAGTGTCTGGCTGGGTCTGGGACTCCGAGCTCCTCCCAGACCCAGCCAGACTACTCTCCTGAGTCTGTCCTGGGGGCTGGCTTGGCTCCCCACCCAGCCTGTCACATCTGAAGTGGGATGGGGGTGGGAGATGGGAAGATGGGTGCCCAGGGGCAGCAGGAGTTGGGGAGGCTGAGGACGGGGCACTAGGCATGGGGGCGTAGTTCACAGCACATTCGGGTGAATGGGCTCAGGACCCTGGGGAGCTGGCACCAGGCTTGCAGGTGGGGGACCCTCTCAGATGCCCCTGACCCCCACAGAGGCACCTCATCCACAGCCCCACTGCAACACCACGGCCCAATGCGGGGTCCAGCCCCCGCTCTCCTGGCCCTTGGAGCTCAGCATGGTGGCTTTGTTCTGCCCCTGGGTTGGGCGTAGTGTGAGTGTTGTTCTGTGGAAATGATTTCCACTTTCAGAAATGAATCAGCTGTTTCATTTCAGCCTGTGAGGCACTTCCAGGCTGCGGAGAGGAGAGTTGGCAAGGGCCCGCGAGAGGGGCGAGTCCTCTGCCAAGTCTCTCCAGGGGCCGGGGGTGGAGTGACGGGAACACAGGTGTGAGTCTGTGAACGTGCAACCATTTGCATGTGGGGGGAAGCAGATCCAAACGGCCCAGTGGAACCATCGCCCCCAGGGCAGCAGGGAGGGCGGGAGCCGGCCCGCCTGACCCTGCCCAGTGTGGCTGGCGCGCAGCGAGTGCCAGGACCCCAAGACGGGGTGAGCCCCCAGCCAGCTCAGTCGTGCTGGCTGTCTTCTTACTGTCATCCCACTTGAGTGTGGCGGCCACCTTCCACCTGTCCCCGACTGCTCTGGGTGACTCAGGTCTTGGCACACACGTGCATACGTGCACACACTCACATGTGCACACAGACACACACTTATACAGACACACGTGTGCACACACTCAGGCACGGGCACCTGCACACTCACCTGGGTGCCTCTGTGTGTTTCCCCAACTTGGCTCCATCCACGCAGGCCTCGTGGGTGGGGGCAGGCGCTCTGCCCTGCAGGCTAGGGTCCAGGCCTGTCTGCTTTCCTGCTCCCCTCACTGGTGGATCTCGGCCCTGCAGTGAAATGCCACCCAGAGGCTGGCCCCAGCGTGCCTCCAAGCAGGTGATGGGGAGGCTTAGCTACCTGGACAGAGACAAGTGATTCAGGCCTGTTTCCAGGATGGGAGCCGGGCTCTCATGCTTCTCCAGGAAAGCAGAGAGAGAACCCTGTGTCTGTAGGACTGAAAGGGGCGGTTTCTCATGTGTACACTCAGGACTGCTCCCTCTGCCACTGGGTACCCAGTGGCCTCTCCTCCAGCACCCAGCAGGCACGGAGCCATCCCTGGCGAGGTTGTGGCCCCAGGGCTCCTGGCAGTTCCTGACCTCCCTGTGCCGGTTGGGAGGGAGGCCCTTGGCTCTGAGCAGGTGAGAGAGGCCTGGGACAGCCAGACGGGGCCCCACAGGGGCTTTTGGTCAACCAGCTCTCAAATCCCAACACTAGGTCCAGAGTCATTCATTGACTCCACAAGCGTTTGCAGAGGAATACAGCAGCGAACAAAGAGGAATCGTTCCTGCCCTCGCAGGGCTGACCCAGCAGTGGGGGAGGCAGTAAATGAAATAAGCTTCAGTCCAAGCATGCTGCGAGGTGTGGTCCAGGCTGAGGAGGGCCGCGGAGAAGCCAGCAGAGAGGCCCCGGGCAGTGCTGGCGACCTGTCCACTTGTCCGTCTTCAGTAGGGCGGTCCTTGCTGAAACCCCAGGAGGTGGGACAGGCCTTGCAAGTGTGTGGGGGGCAAAGGAGGGAGGGGCCAAGGGGGAGCGGCCGGGGGCTTTGCCCATCCTCTGGCTCTTGCCTGGAGAGAGACTTGAGCAGAGGAGGGCGAGCCTGCCAGGTCCTCAGGCCCAGAGGGTCTGTGGGGTGTGTGGGAGCAGGGGGCCCCAGGAGGCTGGGGGAGGGGCCTTTGCCGGAACCCTGTCCTGGGGGTCTGTAGAGGAAGGGAGGTCGGAGGTCAGGATAGCGTCCAGAGTCTGGCTGGCCATGGGCAGCACCAGCCCCCTCCAGGGCCTTCCGGGCCTTCGGGGCCTTCGGGAGGCGGGGTCTGAGGGGCGGCCTGAGCTGGGGCTGAGTCTAGTTGCTCTCAGGGCCTTCTTGGGGTGTGGCGCCTGCCCCTGCCACAGCCACGTGCACTCCCCGTCTCCCCCAGGCTCAAACAGAGTGGCTTCCTGGAAAGGAGGCAGGATGGCTCCCTGGGTGGCCCAGGCCCTTCCCCACTGGGAGGATGTTTAAGTCAATTACTGGAGAGCTCACTGCCTTCCCCCACAGACACTGGGAGGAAAGTGGGGTGAGGCAGGGGGTGGGCGGCCCCGGGAGTGGCGTCTACCCCTCCTTCCTGCCCAGGCTCCAACAACCGGGAACAGGCCTGCTGGGCGATGGGGTCTTCACTGAGGAGGCGTCCCTGCCCCGAGTTGGGGGCACAGGAAGGGCTTGTGGATGTGAGAGGCGGGGAGAGGTCTCTCCTGTCCCTGGCCAGGTCCTCTGTGGTCACTCGGGGGCACGGACAGGGCGGGGTGGTGGTGGTGCAGGTGCCTGCGTGCCTCAAGTGGGGGGGCCACAGCCCGTCTGTGCGTGTGGACACACACGCGTGTGGATGGGGGGAGTGTGCGTACGTGCCCTGACACCTTCCACCTGGGCCTGGATGGCAGAGCGCCCGGCCAGAGACGGACCCAGGAAGGAACTGTCCACGAGCCTGG